TATTGAACTAAAGCTTGAAATAAAAACGGTGTGAATCTATAGGAAAGTTTGCGTTGGGGTTCAGGGAAGTTTTCTCAGGGGTACGAACGATTCAAAACATTGCTAGAGAGTAAAATTGATAAGATCTTAGCTTAAACTTTTCGAACTGGAGTCACGGACGTATGAATACGCCACAGTCGTGATCATAGACAACTATCTCTCTCAACCCTGACCAGTAGGTTTCCACTCTGGCCCTGTAAGAGAAGAGATGCATTATGTTTAAGACTCGTCAGCATTCACAAATCGCCCATAGGTAGGTTTCCACTCCTATGTTTGTTTTGCTCTCCAAACTAGATCTGATACCTGATGAACACTTTCATGTCACCAAGCATCTGGATCAGATTGTAGTTCATGACGCTACTCTCATGCAGTAAAAACGAATTCAGAAGAAAAAGTTCTAAGATTTGGCTCAAAAGCTCATGGAATCCTCATCGAACATATAAATCCCCATCGAAAATCCCTTAATCCCAACAATAAAACTACTCAGACATGATAAACGAAATCAAAAACATAGTATTAAGAAGTAGAATAGAAACCGAAATTGAAAAAGAAAGAACAAGGGTTCAAGAGACAAATCTCTCTCTCCCTAAAACCTAAAACTTAAAAGTATTCTAAAACAATAAGAAAAATAGCATATCCTCCGAAATAGGTTTCCTAAGACATGTATTTATAGTGCTCAAGACATCTCTGGACGTCACTTAGGGTTTCTCCAAATGAGGGAATCATTGTGGGCTTCAGAAATGGGCTTTTGGGCTTGGAGTTAGCTTGCCGCGGTCAGGAGTGCTGTGACCGCGGGGAATGAGTGGTTTGCCGCGGTCGGGATGCTTCTGACCGCGGGAAATGGCTTGCCGGCTGGTTTACGGGACATCTTGTTCTTCGCGTATCTTTTGATTGAACCGTTGGATTGCCAAGCTGTAAAGTGTGCTGGAAAGCTGATGCTTCCATCTTTAAGGTCTCCAGATTTGAGCTGGATCAGACGGTGAGAAGGCCTTCAATCAGGGGTGAACTTCTGACGGTTTGACTCTGAGCTGAAATCTGGTTTTCTATCCATTTTGTTAAGCTTTTCTCTAAGTTACCTGAAAAGAGTCTTGGAACTACAAATACTAGAAAAACGTAATAAAAGTACTTAAAAACAATTAAAAACATAGAAAAAGTATTTCAAAATGATCCATAAAAGTGGTCAAAATACAGTGTTATCAAATTGCCAAATTTGTTCCATATATTTTCAATTAAATTCTTCTTCAAACGTTTATGTATTTCTGTATCACGGATTTGATTTCGTATGCCGATAAGATTTCCGATGTTTGACGATATATCTGTAGAGTACTCATTGTCCACTTGTGAAGTTCAGCTTGACTCTCCTTGTTGGAATTCTTCTATGTTATACTGAGTGTAGCCATTCCGTTCATTTTCTACTATTATATTGTGCAATATGATAGATGCGCACATAATATTGCCAATCTTTTTCTTATCCCAGAAAAGAGTTGGATTTCTGACAATTGCAAATCGAGCTTGTAGAACTCCAAAAGCACGCTCGACATCTTTTCGGACAGATTCTTGACAAGTAGCAAATAATGATGCTTTATCACCTTGAGGCAGTGGAATAAATGGTATAAAAGCTGCCCATTTGGGATAAATACCGTCGGTGAGGTAGTCGCCTTCGATTTGCTGCCACAAAAATTCGCATGCAGTCACCTTCGAAATCGTCATGGGAGAGAGCTCTCGGGTTTTTTTTTTCAGAAAATATCAACTCTCGGATAATTTTTGGCCCCCACGCGAGAAACCAAAAAATTTTTCTTCTGCCCAATAAAAATGCTACACGTCGCTTAAGGGATTCTGTATGGATCGGCCATAAAACCCTTAGAGAAGGGTCAATCCTTATTTTTTTGGGCTTCCTTTTCAATATTTAACCCAAAATATTCATTAGCAACCCACCTAAAAAATGTTAAGGACCTTCAATGTACATGCTCTTAGACCATGTTTATTAAAGAGACTCAAGTGGGTCTCTTAAGCATTATTTAAGTAATATTGTTTAGTTAAGAGACCTTTTAAGAAATCTGGATTTATTTAGAGGTGTATTGGAGAAATCGAAATGGATTTTTTTTTAAAAAAAAAATTCATATAAAAAAAGTTTATTAACTGAAAATAACAAAGGTACAACATTTTTATTATTTGAAAACAACAGAAATTTAACAGATAATTTTTAATATTTGAAACAACACAAATTTAGCAATAAAACTTAGATATCGACTTGTTTACTTCCAAATTTTTGCCAGATATGCTCAACCCAATCATTTTTCAATTATTCATGCATTTGTTTATCCCGAACTCTAGTCCGTCTAACGAACATATCAGCGATATTTGTAGGCATGTCAGTAATATATGAGAGATCCACATGTGAATTTTCGTTTCCTTCTCCTTGTTGGAATTCAGAAACATTTTGTAGAGTGCATCCATCTCGTTCATCCTCTACTATCATGTTGTGGAAAATGATGCATGCTCTCATAATCTTCCCAATTTTCGCTTTGTCCCAACTAAGAGCCGGATTTTTAATAATAGAAAATCGAGCTTGCAAGACTCCAAAAGCACGCTCGACATCTTTTCGGATGCCTTCTTGATGAGTAGCAAAACATGATGCTTTTTGACCCTTGGAAAGTTTTATAGATTGGATAAATATAGTCTATTTTGGATAAATACCATTTGTGAGATAGTAAACCAAATGATACTCCCTTCCGTTGACACAAAAAGTTACTTGCGGAGCTTGACCGTTTATGATATCATCAAAAACAGGTGAGCGATCAAGAAAATTTATATCGTTTAAGTACCTGAAGGTCCAAAAAATGCATGCCATATCCACATATCATATGAGGCTACGGCCTTTAAAACGATGGTGGGCTTGGCAGAACCACGGGAATATTGTCCTTTCCATGCTGTGGGACAATTCTTCCACTCCCAATGCATACAATCTATGATGCCTATCATCCCGGGAAATCCTCTTATCTCTTCAACAACAAGTAGTCTTTGAAGATCCTCTGCGGTTGGTCGTCTTAGTTACTCATCACCAAAGAGAGTAATTATTCTTTCCACAAAATATTCTAAACATTGACGAGCCGTAGTTACACCGAGATGTAGGTATTCATGAACCGTATCAAGGCAGTGCCATATGCCAAGAGATGATTGCTGCAGTGCACTTCTGAAGTGCAGATAGACCGGACCTTCCGGTAGCATCAACCCTCTGTTGAAAATAAGGAATTTCATTGGAAAGCCGATCAACAATATGCAAGAACAATGGTTTGATCATTCTAAAACGTCGCCGGAAAATATTTTCTGGGTATGTTGCATCTTGAGCGAAATAATCATTCCATAAACGGTTGTGGCCGTCTTCTCGCTCTCTTTCAATATAAACTCTTTTCTTCCTTGCCCTCCTTGTTTCTTGTTGATCTCCATAATCAATGATAAGATTTTCATAAATGTCTTCAAAGAGTTGATCAAAAATTTGATCAAGAGTTTGATCAAAATTTTCATATCCCTCAAAATTATTTTTGGATGAGGAAGATGCCATTAAACAAAAAAGACGATATGAGAATAATATGTGAAGAAATTTTTATGAAATATAGAAAAAGAAGATGAATGAAATAGAGAAATAGAAGATGAAGTAATGTGTTTGTGCATTTCATCCCTGAAGGTTTATGCAAATTTTTAGGCATATACATTGGGCAACTTGTGGTGCTCGGTTATGCAATTTTTGCTTGTGGTGAACTTGTGCTGAACGTGAACTCATCCTCAGCTTGTGGTGAACGTTTATGCATTTTTTCTTTATTGTATTTTGCATTTGTTTCTCTGTGTCACGAGGAGACTCTTTTTTTCAACTTGGAATCATTTCAGCTTTTGAAAACATAGGTTTTTTTTCTTTGTGCCGACTAAAACGCATACAAAAAAAGGATATGTTTCTTTGTGCCTTACAAAGTTTTAAGATATGGTGAACCCAAACCCAAACAAAACTCAAATTATATCTGATTCTTCTCTTCGAAACCACCCATTCCACGGGAGGAATCTCCTCTTTCTTGAATCCCACGTCTCTGTAGTGCAAACTTTCTCTCCTCCTTTATCATCCTTTTTATGGCTTCACGGTAGTCTGGTTCAAAGTCTTCGTCTTCCTCAATACGCACAAGACTGCACCCTAAAGCTCTCCGGTACTCTGCTTGTGTGATCTCCTTCACATCATCATATGCTTCTTCTCGTGGATGTTGGCGGACCACTGGTCTGATTCTTTTTGAAGGGAGTCCTCATACTATGACTTTCCTTGCTTCCATAGTAGAAGAGATCAGCCTGCAAAAATAACACAAGAACAGATACCATTAAACAAAAGGATTAAACATAATCCAAACATAGAACAAAAGCAACAACAAAAGGATTTAAAAGGAAGATATTATATGAGACATAATCTTTTCATTAAACAAAAATATCTTACATTAAGCAGACATAGAACAACATAGAAAATAGCTTAAGCAAACATAGAACAAGAACAAACCTAATCCAATTACACAGCAAAAACCAACCTAACCCAAAATAAGCAAAATAACTTCAAAGACAACAAAAACACAGAAAAATAACTTCAAGCTTCATCAAGACATCAGGTCGGAAATGAGCCTGTTCTTAAAACCTTCTTCATGCTCAGTCGATGGTTCTTTCCTGGCGAGTAAACTCTTTAGTAGACTCATCTTCTACAATCCCTCCTTTATAGTCATATCTTCCTTCTTTATGGATCACACGGTATGAAAGTCTGCAACAGCATTGCTCTCCACCGAATGTCTCTTACTTTTGCCTTTAGCCACCTTAACTCTAAGAGGCCTGATGGTTGCTTGATCCACTTCAGGACCTGTCTCGTCTGCAGCTTGAGTACCATCCTCACACTTTCTCTTTTTTGAGTTTTGTTCAGTTTTTGAAGTGAAGAGGTCACACTATTTCTGGTCGTTTCTGAGCTCCTTCCAAGCATGCTCAAGTGTGAACCTTTTCTTGTGGTCATTGTAGAAGAGTTCATGGGCTAGCTTCAGCACATCATTCTCATTCTGTCCACTAGCCTTCTCTCTTGATGCCGCCTCGTAGGAGCCACAAAATTTGCAGACCAAATCGTTAATCTTGTGCCACCGTTGCTTGCATTGCCCAGCCTCTCTGAATTCTCTGCCTTCTGCCTTGGGACAAGCCGCCATGTAAGCTGCAATTCGCTTCCAGAAGGCCACTGACTTCTGCTTATTCCCTACGATAGGGTCCTTGCTCGTGTTTAACCACGAGCTGATGAGTAGCATATCATCCGTGGGAGTCCACTTTTTTCTTTCTCTTCTCTCTGCAGACAAGTCTTCTCTATCTTCTCTCGCACCATAGGTTGAAGCTCCTGTTGCTTGAGTACTAAAGAGAGAGACGGGGTCAACAAAGGGAAAGGGTTCATAGTGAACACTCTCTTGTTGGCTGTTAAGAAGTCCAACAAAGTTAGAGCTTTGGGTATATGGATTCGCAGAATGCAAATCTATTAAGGTCAAGAGAGGAATGAGAATAAGAGAAGAAGCAAAGATGATCAGAAGATTAAAAAAAAAACAATAAAGAATGTTTGTAGGTGATAAAAAGAAAGAGATGACAGCTTCGGCTTAAATAGAAGAAGAGAAGAAGCAAAGAGGATCAACTTTTAAGTCGATGCATTTAACTAAACCTAACCACATCGACAAGACATTTATCTGAAAGAAGATGCATTCATCACAACTAAGCCATTGATTATAACTAAACTATATTCTACAACTAAACTAATTATTCATCACAGCCAAACTACCATTTACCTATCCATTTATTACATATCAATCTCAGTTATCAACCACTAACAGCATTTATGAAACCTAACCACTTTCAAAACATACCTCAAAAGCTTCAAAAGATGGAGGAAACCCTTTACACCAAATGCTGTCCGGTGCCTTTTGCTGGACCCGTGCCTTACTCGCAACAACAGGTTCCCTACAACCAAAAACGTCGAACTACACAGATTAACCAAAACAAATCATCATCCGCAAATAGCAAAACAATAGTTCAAAAGCCCTAAATAGCAAATCAATACAAATCCAAACATAGAACAAAATGACTAAACATAAGTTTATTAGAGACTAAAACTTGAAGAAGAGGATTAAACAATAGTTCAATCAATACAAATCATCATCTGCATCCGCAAATCATCATTCTGCTATGAAAATAAACCTTAAAACATCCAAATCTATCACTGGATTAACCATTGCTAAACAAACAGATCAAAAGCCCTAAAGTGACGCAAAGGAAATAAACCCTAATCGATCAAACAAGAGAAATTCAACCATTTCTAAAAAAATCCATATTCGATCAAACCCTAAACCAGCATAAAGAGACATGCAAGAGCAAACGCATACAAATTCGGAAGCAATACATCAAGAAGCTATATCAGACATAAGAAATTCGATTTTGAGTTCAATTGACTCAAACCACAAACCATTGAAATTCATTTAGAGGGAGATAAAAGAACAAATTGACAAGAGAAAATCCATAGATGATATTGCTTACCTCCAATAAAGCTCCGGTGGCCGTCTCTTTGATCGGAAACGGCTTGAATCGATGCAGATTCGACGGTGAGCCGATTTCGAGCCCGATGAGTTGAAATGTTTCGTCAGGGAAAGAAAAAATTTTGGGTTGCAAAAGCTCAAGCCAATCAAGCCCCGCCACGTATCGTCTTAGAGACGTCTCTCCCGGATGCCAAATAAAAGACGTTTTTCTTGTTTTAAACCATTTTTTATTTAATTTTTTGGTCCAATAATGTTAAGAGACCCAATAAAAAACGCCCGATATATATGCTTTTAGAGCATCATTACGCTGGATACCTATATGGGTATTTTAGGCAATTTTTTATTATTAAAGTGGAGTTTACATTAAGATATAGTTCTCGATTAAGAGACGTTTTTAGCTAATGTGGAGCTTTATATTGAAAAACACTAAAAACGCAGTTAAGAGACTGCGATGCGATAATGTTGGTCTAAAATTAATTTCAATGTAGAGAGAAGGAGAATTAGAGTTTTCGTAGCCTTTCAAAACAAAATTTGTTTAGCCGTACAAAAAATGATCGTCTACTTACTCTAGTATTAATCAACCGTTAAATCTAAGTGATAAATCTAATACACTGCCAAAGGAGACAAAAAGTGTTTTGAACATATGATATTCTATTGGTCGGCCTGTTTCCAGTATGCTTTACGTTTCCATTACCTATTTCCTTTTGGTCTTGTACTCCATTTAATACATGTAGTCCATTTTAGGTTTGATTTATGCCTTCATTTGATTTTATTATCATTTGTTGAGTTTTGCTTGTCAATATAACAACAGAGTTAGTGAACTAATCCAACTAATGTTAAGAATCTAGCGAATTAATTAACTGATCATGCCGAATTTATAAATCTTAAGCGTTTTCAAGTATTAAAATTGTCCATCAAAAGTAACTCAAAATCAGCTCAATCACAAAGCATGACATTCTTAATTACACTTTCAAAATTATCAGTCTATTTTTTAAAATTATAAAATCCAACTAGACAACTACTACAATGTGGTAACAATCACAAAGTATCAAATCTACCAAAGTCGTTCCCGTGTGCATTTAATACTATGACCAAAAAAATGGTTGGGAAGATTACCCAATTCAAGACCTTCGGTGCAAAACCACCTCTAATAAATACACAGTTAGATCTCTTTATTCCTTCCATATACAGCTATACTTCGCTACATTCAACTTCACTCTTCTAATACCAAATCAGTAAATCCTTAACGTACGCACCATGTGCACGTTAGAGAAACGCGGCGATCTCTTCTTGCTAACCTTAACCGGCGATGACGAGCATGGATTCCACCCCGACATGATCTCCTCCGTTCTCTCGCTTCTCGAGCAAGCCAAATCTCAGTCCACACGTGGCTCCGTCCTTGTAACCACAGCTCACGGGAAGTTCTTCTCCAACGGCTTCGATCTTGCATGGGCTCAATCAGCTGGATCTCAAACCGGAACCATAGACCGGATGCACCAAATGGTCAAATCATTCAAACCGGTGATAGCCGCGCTTTTCGATCTTCCGATGCCTACGATAGCCGCCTTGAACGGCCACGCGGCCGCGTCCGGGCTGATGTTTGCCTTGAGCCACGATTACGTTTTCATGAGGAAAGACCGTGGCGTTTTGTACATGAGCGAGGTGGATATTGGCCTGCCGTTGCCTGACTACTTCTCGGCGATGTTCGTGGCTAAGATCGGGACGAGTATTGCTAGGAGGGAGATGTTGCTGAGCGGGAAGAAGATTAAAGGAGAGGAAGCGGTGGCTTTGGGGATCGTTGACTCGGCGGCGCATGATAGTGCGGAAGGTGTAGTGGAGGCTACGGTGAGTCTTGCGGAGAGTTTGGCGGCGAAGAAATGGAACGGTGAGGTTTATGCATCCATTAGGAAGAGTTTGTATCCGGAGGTTTGTCGGATGTTGAGTTTAACGGACAAGATCTCTGCAACTCCTTAATCTCTAGTTGTCTCTTAAACGACGACAAATTGCTTAAGAACAAATAATAAAAGATGTAACCCTTTGTTTTTTGTATTTTTTTTTTAATATAGATACTTCCTTCTTCTCGTATTATTAGATGTTTTAATTTTTTTTTTCATGAATGTTGGAAAATTATTTATAATTACAATTCTATCTTTGTTTTTGTCAATTGGTGCGATTCAGTACCATCAAAATTAATTTTTTCGTATGCATTAATTTATAGAGATTTTAATTTTTCATACATGTAAAAAAAAATTATAATTACAATTCCATCTTTGTTACCTGTTAATTTATTGGTTGAGCTCTTTAAGCTCTCTAACATAGATATTTATAATCAAAATAAAACATGTAAATATGTATGAACATGGACCGCTTTGTTAACAGTTTCACTCTCGAAATTTAGTCGAAAACTTAGATCCGTTCGAAAGTTTACAAAGGATCTCTGACAGATTTAATTTTTTGACTAAATAGATCCTGTCAAAATCCATCAGGAATTTGTTGGAAATGTTTTTTTCAACGTAGACAATATTACTGGACACCGGTCAGAAATTAGCTGCTTTCTTGTAGTCGTTAGTTATGTAGCTTAAATATGCCCACCAAAAAAAAAAGTTATGTAGCTTAAATATATTTTTTTGGTAAACTTTCATACAAAATTACAAACTGAAACAAACTTTAGAGAACAAATCATTGAAAAGAAAACGTCAACGAAACAACGAATATTCCCGATGAAAATTAGTCGGCGACACAGCCAAGCGAAAACAGCTCATTTTCCTCTTTCAACACTTTGACCAAACGTACCCAAGCGTGTACGTAGTCAACATGTAGTGTCTCCTTTATTTTCCTATATATTAGCTACACACAAGACATCACAAGCAACAATCAATCCTCAGATACACCAAAACACTAATATCCCAACAAATTTCAAGAATCTATCTTTATGGCCTCAACGATGCCGAAAACAAGCACTTCCGGTGCCGGAAACGAGCAGCAACCTAAACGACTACAGAGACGAGCTCCATCTTTAAAGATCGAGCTTGCGTCGGTTAGTACGTGGAACGTAGCCATCCCTCTCCTCTCGCCTCTTGCTTCTTCCCCCAAAATTTCCTTCGACCAATTCAATGTTCCTCCGCCGCAGAACCGGATTGAGAAACCGACGGAGGAGGAGAAGAAGACGCCGGTTTTCAAGAAGTGGCAACATCCAGCGTCGCCGTTCTGCTACGAGCAGGCGGCGTTTGTCCCACCGTTCATCCCGGTTTAGAAACGGTTCAAACTCGTATAGATTTAACGATCCAACGCGCATTTAACTATTTTTCACCTTTTTGTAGATCTAACAACTCATAATTTTCTCCTCTTTTATGTTTCTATACCATAAAAAAAATTTTTTACTCATATATTAATGAATAATTGCTATATGTGCCTGAAGATTATTTCATTTACCAGTCAGAAGATCCATTCCACGTTTGACGTATTAGTTTTTGTTTATTTATAGGAATATTTTATAATATTGTGAATGTGTAGTTAAAATGGACTACCGTTTTTCCTTGGCTCCATGGACCCATCGTTTTAATCTATGGATATAAATCACAATAATTAAATATTCTGAAACGACAAGTTGTATTAGCCTAGCACATCAAAGTTGGAACTTGGAATGGACCACCAATTTCATCCTACTTACGAGTTATGACACTAAAGATGGAATTCAAATGTCTCTAATTAAATTAAGTTTGAATTTGCCACGGATAATGTTGTTACTAAAATCATAATAGCAATATTTTCTTGTGGTGTTTATAACATGCTAGTTTATTTCAATCGTCTGTATATAGTGGATTTACAAAATTATTATATTGGTTAATCATAAAGATTTAGACTTTTATAACACTGCAAAAACAAACTTAACAATGCTAAACAGCCTTTATTACCATACATAATAACAAATCATATTTTATGTCTACACATATATGAACCATAAAATTTCGAAAAAGTTATAATGTCCAACCACTTGTTACCATATAGAATACGGTTTATAAGAGATAAATAATATTGAGATGTTTTTAAGACAAGAAAACTGAGCAATACATTTAGAAAGAGTTGAAGAAAAAAATGAAGAAGATAAAAAAAATTGATGGGACAAAAAAAATAATAGTAGGGGCAATAAATTTCAGCTTTGATTATTCTTCCGAATACGATTGAATTGATTACTATAACATCGGTTGAATTTTTAAAAAGATGTTTAAAGAGAAATTGTTGCTAATATCATACCTATTGATTTAGAACACTACTATTGTTTTGATTACTGGTTTACAGATGTTCAATTGATCCTAGCAAAATTCAGACAACGCTGGCTAACAAATATAGTTTGCATAGTGTAGTAGAATTTATATTAGCAAAATAGTATATAGTAATTTTAGATTTGTTAGATTTTTTTTTTTTCATTTTTTGGTTTGTCAGAACTTTTATGACAATACATTTGAGAGAAATGTGCTAGATTGACTCTAATTTTAGAAAATATTACTAGATTGACTTTCCATTTCTAATTTTACTAGAATAACTTTAATCTTTATAAGAAAGACCACAAAACCGTGGTTTAGAGTTGATATTCACAGTTATGCCATTTTGATTTAATTTTTCAAAAGAAAATGAATTAATTATACAGTTATCAATTAAGTTAAAAAAAACAAAAATTTCTCTAAATTCTGGATAATATTGACGGAAATATAGAAGATTTTTTTTTCCAAAATTTTTTAGAAAAATCATTATTTCTCCTAGAATCTCTCTCCACGATTTTTAAAGCTAAAAACCCTAAAAACTATCATTTGAAAACCCGAGCACCTCTTTTTGCCCTAGCCGCCGTATACTTGCGATTTCTGTGGCGATTTTGGCTGTCTTCCTCCTGGAATTCGGTCCGCATAAAGTTTCCAGCAAAGTAGACGACTTGTTTCATCTATTCCGGTGGTAAGTTCAACCCGAATTTCTCACTGTTTTTTTTTCAATTTCAATGGTGTGGAAGATGATTAATTCGGGTTTGTTTCAAAAATCTCAACTATTACAATTTTATTCCGACAGCGTTTCGAGGTCTTTGCTTGTTGCTTCGAGTTCCAATGGTGTTTCGGTAAGTTTTTACCGATCTGATTGTTTTCTGTTTTTGGGCTTCCCAATTGGCTTGGCGCCATGTTCTTGTTTTCTTTCTAAATTGAAATTCCAGTTCACTGACAGAGTTGTTCGCCATATTCGAAATTGATGATAAAGTTTTTGATTGTACGTACAAATTCCTTGTGTTTTCAAGTACAGATCATGTTTTCAAGTGGTTCGATGAAGCACACGCTGAGGAATTGGAGATAATCACGAAGTAGCAATCGATGATTTTGAATGATCTGGGGGATATCAAACAGGAGATCCATGACCTCAAAAACGACATAAAGGAAATTGTATCTGTTTTCGAAAGTTTCAGATGTAGCATCGTATGAAATTCTTAAATGAATTCTTTGTCAGACATATTTCTCGTAATGATAGGTTTATTGCACTTGATGGTAAACTTAAATATCGTTAACAAGTTTGCTAAGATGTTAGTTTTGAAACAAAAACAATGTAAAAACGAAAACGTTTACGTAAAATATCAATTGTCAAGATGACACGTCTTGCTGTTGTGACCAGACTGGTTACAGTTGGAGCACTTGTGATCTTTACGTGGTCTTTTTTTATCAAGCGCTTTCTCGAGAGCCGATTTGATCCTACTCGATTTCGGTCTTTCCGGTTGCTGACATACATCTGGTGGCTGACAAACTTTCAAAACCACATGTTCTGGAACAGGCAAAGCTGAATCTCGTGGCATCACGATGCCACTATAAGCGTTGTACAAGTAGTATTTAGTGTAATAAGCATGACAAAGTTCTATACGGCATGTGTTTCTTGCGTCTGCTGCTGCAAGTGCGTGTACACATGATAACTTCTCCAAGTCAAATCTTCGGCAAGAACATTTTTTTCGGTTAGATTGAGTACATGCGTAGACGACCCAAGCGTCACCTGCGACTGATGTGCATCAATAGCTTGCACTCTAAATTGTTTTGCGTAATTTACACGTGACTGCAAAAAAAAGTGGACATGTTAGAAGCAAAATTATAGAGTTTTTACTCAAGTTTAGAATTTTACCTCTAGCAGCTTCTCAACACCACGCGTAAGGGTAATTATGGGTAAACCGTCGGTAACATATCTGTCATAAGTAATCCGTAAGTCTATTTTAAAACTTTACTGTCACTGAGCTATATATATCTGCTGGGAATAAGTCTTATATCAAAGAAAGGTTAATCCAGTAACAAAACAAATATGTTATGTCGTCGACATTGTTAATTTGCCACCAAACAGTAGGTTAATATAAGTTTTTTGTGTCGTAAAAATAACTCTGTCATGTCGTCCGAGTCATATGAGTAATTAAATTAACAATTTAATAAGTGTGTGTCCTCATAGATTTATTCAGCATTACTTTAACTCTGTCACCAAAGCCACATCTTTATCATGTCTCTGAAGAATATCTCTGTCAGACAAAACAATAAACTTGTCGCAGATTTATGTATCGTATATTAAAACTGTCAAATATTACATATGTTTGTCGGGCTATGACAAAGTAATTTAATATCTCTATGCACACAAAAAAAGTCTATCAGATTTTAATAAGTATGTGTTAAAAAAATAAGTTTCTCGCTATGTAAGACAGACATGTTGAAACAAGTCTGTGTTATCTAATCAAGTATACCATATGTAATTAAATCTATCATCATGTACAACAGAGTTAATGATTTAAGTCTGACATTCGATTAAAAATCTACTATTCGTAAACAAGTCTATCACACCCTATCAAATCTGTTATAATGAAGTTGGTAGACTTATAGTAATCGGAATATGACAGATATATGTAAATTCGAAAAAAGCGATGGCATTATTGTAAATAAAGTGACGTTTTTGCTGATGTGGAAATTAATTGTTAATAGCATTTTTGTAATTTTTTTCGACAACAGGCTTTTAAGGGCAATTTAGGCACGATTTTTACTAGAATAACCTCAATTCTTACAAAATCATTCTAGTAATAATTGTAAACATTAATGTTAATCTAGTTAATCTCCTTACATTTGAAGTACTTTTTCTGGAGTAGGAAAATCATGCAATAGATTCGAGGTTAATTCCAACGGACTATGCCGAGTGGACTATAATCATGAGTGTGATAATAATGTTTAAAAGATTACAATAGCAAAGAGTATTAATCGTGACCAACAAAAAATGTTAAAATTTGATATGAAGCTTGGAGAGTGAGGAGTTTGGTAGCGGAGATGTTGGTAATCAGGAATGAGTATTTCAGAGAGAAGTGGTGAGAGATGCTGACCTTTATAAACCAACCATTCTAGTGAACTAACAGTTACATTTCTATCTATTTACTATTAATTTTTACATTTATAATTGATTTGAAATATGGAATCTTAACATAGTGGCTTTATATCTATTGTTGGTTTGGATTACATTTAATATTGATTTGGTTTAAAGAATAAGTAATTGTTAATTCTTAGGATTAACATCTTTGATCAACATATTATTATTCGTTGTCTATGGTTTTGATTAACTATTAAATAGATAAAATTTGTGGTGGCTTTTAATTGTTCTCACAATCAGTTTTAGATTTAAATGATTAGAAACAATTTAATTTGTGCCCTAATTTTGAACATGAGTAAGCATCACCAATTAATTCTAAGTTTCATAAAAAGGGATATTTATTAACAAGTTTTGAAACCTCCTCAACTATGCCACAACAGAGAAAGAGATGTTTGCTATAGTATTTGCTTTTGACAAGTTTATGAGCTATCTGATTGGTTCTAAAGTGGTGGCCTACACAGACCGTGCTACACTTAGATACCTGATGACAAAGAAGAATGCAAAACCAAAGTTAAGATGAGTACTTCTTTTGCAAGAGTTTGACATGGAGGTTCAGGATAAGAAATGAATAGAGAATGGTGCAGCTGGTCACCTCTCAAGATTAAGAGTGGATTCTGAGATCCCTATTAATGGCTCTCTACCTGAAGAACAACTTATAATGCTTAAGAGTTACATGAAAGTTGAAAAGGTTGATACCATTAGAGAAAACAGGTTGACATAGTTTGCTAACATAGTAAACTTCTTATTTTGTGGGGTTGAACCACCAGAACTTAGTGGATATTAAAAGAAGAATTTCTTTAAAGACATCAAGAAATACTTATGAGATGAGCCATTTCTCTTTGTGCTCAACAAAGATCATCTATACAGAAGATGTCTAGCCAGTTCTACAAGAATATCACGGTTCAGCTATGGTAAACATTTGGGAGCTTTTAAAACGGTGCCCAAAGTATTGCAATCAGGTTTTTGGTGGCCAACCATATTCATGCCCAAAGTGTGGTTTCAAATTGTTTGCATGGTAACATATCAAAGAGGAGTGAGATGTTTCAAACATTTTTTTTTATTTTATCGAAAACAATTTATTGAGCTAAACGGGCCGGGCTAAGCCCAATAAGCTCACTCTTTCTTCTTCTTCTCGGGACTTCAACAGTTTTGCACTTTCGTGCGTTTCTCGGCAAACAAAACCGAAATCCTACGTTTCTGGAACTGAAGCAAAATTCGAGAATCGTTTCGCAATGCTCTGATTTTCTCTCTGATGGTGTTGGTGAGTCCTTGCTAGGAGAGTGGAAGCGAAGACGAATCAAATGTTGGTGCGAGATATGAACTATCGAAGGTTTGATCTATGATTCCATTTGTTTCGTCACACCTTTTTCACTGCAATGTTCAACAATACTCACGCGATGTTGATTCCGTTCTATAAACCCTATTCGATTCGAATTTCATACGGATCTGTTCACAATCTTTAGTTCCATTCTTTCTGAATTTTTTAGTTTTCTGCATCACCGACATTTTTCAGGGGTTTTTCGAATTCCTGATTATTCCACTAAGTCAATGATCTGATTCAGAGTTCGAATTAAATTTTTTTCCAGATTTAGATTGGAGAATTTTGAGGAAACAATGGAGTCTGATTAAGATTTTTAATATGTAGGGAGCATCGTGCCTCAAGAACGTCTCTCTTTGATGGCCTTGATGGACTTGAGGAAGGTCGCTTGAGGGCTTCCTCTTCGTATTCTCATGATATCACCGAGCGCGACAACGATGAAGCTCTGGAGAATCTTCAGGACAGAGTTTCATTTCTGAAGAGAGTATGTTCTGTCTTCTCTAGAACCTAAAAGTCCAAGGATCGTTACATATTTACATTACTACAAGCATTAAACATTAGGATTCTTATAAATGTTTTTACACTTCTGCAACTCTTGATTGTGAATTGGCTTGTGGTGCAATATTGGACACTGATCTGAATCGTTTGAGAAAAAGCATTTCTTGAATTAGCGTTTATGTTGAAAACATTCCCTTTATTTGAATCTTTTTGGACTCAACCAGCATCAAGAAATGATCTTTTTGTTTCCAATTTTGATTTTATTCTCTTCTTAGGCTTGTCAATAAGTAGCTAGCAGTATACCCTTTTGTGTAAGATGTAAGATTAGCTATACTATATCATCAGGTGACTGGAGACATACATGAGGAAGTTGAGAGTCATAACCGCTTGCTCGACAAAGTGGTAAGCTGAAGTTTTGATTTGATATTGTTTCAAGTGTGTAGATCTCTGTCACATGCTTTTATTCTAAGCTATATTTATTTTCGTATATCTAGGGGAACAAAATGGACTCTGCGAGAGGAATAATGTCAGGAACGATCAACCGTTTCAAGTTGGTATGTAACATTTATTCACTACTATAGTATTGTTCAGATTATAATCGAAAAAGTTGAGAAGAAGTCTAATCGAAGAGGTTGCAACCCTTCAATGACTATTATTGTCTTACTGCTTACTGCTCACTCATTGTTAGGTCTTTGAGAAGAAGTCTAATCGAAGAAGTTGCAAGCTCATAGCGTATTTTGTGCTCTTGTTCTTGATCATGTATTACCTTATTAGGTAAATTGCTCTTCTTCACATAATTTTCTGACCAAATGGGTTTCTACGGCCTGCTTCAAGTCCTTGTTCTTAGACCCGAGGTATGCTAATAGTACGACAATCAATTGGATTTTGCAGGTTATTAAACTTCATCAAAGGGTGAATTTTTGGATTCAAGAAGAAAAGTAGATTGTTATATCATACTCTGTCTCGTTTTGGTTTGGGTTTCTCCTGATGAATGATTCAAGACATATTGAACTAGTCAAGGGACCCATATTGAAACAAGACAAAGAAAGATACTGTGAAGAGACTGGTGAACCGAAAGAAAAATGGTAGATAGAGACACTTCTTTGTCCGAAGCACAATCACCTCAATGTCATTTCATGTAATGTAGTAAAAGCTTCTTTATGATTTGTCAAACTATTTGATCACAACCAAACAAAGGTCTTGGATCGTGTTTAACCATTTTTCTCTACAAAAAGCTTAATTGATTGACAAGCTTAATTATTAGGTTTCTGTATGAAAAAATTAAGCACTTGTAATAAAAAGACCAAAAGAAGAGAGAACTTGGTAGTCTGAAAACAAATTTCAAAGTCTACAGACACAAATGCCGTCATGCATTTTGATTTATGCTGATATTTGGTAAACATCCAACAACGTAATTGTTGTTCAAAGAGTTTAAGTTGGGTAAAATCACAAGGTGACAGAACCCTACAAACGAATTTGATATTTTTCCACTTTAGGTAACAAGTTGACAAAATTTGACAAGGTGACATGTACATTTTCCAATGGTTCGGTTTTTTGTCAAATCATCTTCACATTTACGTAAATCAAGGTTTGGATAGGTAACAACAAAATAAGCGGTACACAACAAACGGACTACGCGGGACAAATAAACCAAATATGAAATATGTTTAGATATTTCTAAAAATATATGTAATCTAGGTTTAAATATAAAATTCTCCTAGTTAACACAATATATATATATATATATAGATGACTAAACTAAATTGAGTTTGTTGAGTTTTAAAGTTTTTAATAATCTTCGATTTCCACACATCCCAGATTACTAGAAAATGGGTGATGGTTTTTTTTTTTTTTATTAGTGGAGAATTTTGAGAAGTGTGTGTATTGCGAATTGTGAAGTTTTATGAATTTGTTGGGGTTTTTACTTGGTGGGATTTACCTCAGCTTTTCAAATATGAATATGGCAAATTCTTGGCGATTATTTCATCTATCTTCTAAATCTCATTAAGAAGACAAATTCGACACAATTTATGCCTTATAACTGAATCTCTGACATAGATAATTGTTAATTTTTGGGTGCATGTTACACAAAAACGTTCAGCCACATCTCTGCATTTGACTCACTATAATGTATATTAATATATTTACTAACATGATGTAATATCAAAACGCATATATATATATATATATATATATTCACCATTAAGTATAAAACTAAACAAAATAGAAAATTTGTAGCAGAATAAAATGAAAATAAGCATAGCCTCAAAGGATCTTTGAAGTCAAATTCGCCTTTGACGTTTGCTCGGTGATTGCATACTTTGCATATCTGTAATTAAGAAAGAAAAACAACTTTTCGCTTAATTTTAAATGAAAGATATATGTATATTAACGTTCTAAAAAAAACATGTAGATTACGAAATACTTATTTGCTTTGTTTTCCGTAAACTATTTTGTTGCGCATTCTTCGTGAGCAAGGGTTAATTTTTCCTTGAACGAACATTTGAGATCTCCATTGTCTAAGCACATATCATGGTATACTATTTCTTCGATAGAATCCATTTTTTATCTTTGTTCTTATGATAATAAAAAGTGTTTAAAAACAGTTATATATATAATTTACAAAAAATAATCATGTTATTTTTTTAAATATCCCAAATATGACATTATCTAGCATGGGCACTAAAACTTTTTCTAAGAAAACCAAATAAAACTAAAACCGAATCAAAATCAAATTTGAATTGGTTATGGTTAAACCTAAAAACTCGTTGGTTATCATTTTTATTAAATTATTATTAGTATTATTATTATTTTTTCTTATAATTCATTTACGACGTTTTGCTTAGATTTTACTTTTGTTTTGAATGCTTTTGCAATTGTTTTTAGTATTTTAGAACAACTATAACATATATGATAACATTTTAAAGTAAATATTATCGACAAATGTAATAAGAAAATACTTTCTTAACTAAATATAATTGACAAATTTCACTACAAAAAGTGTGTATTACATCACTTAAATTATATTATAAAAATAAATAATATTATTTTGAATTATTTATTAACAATTGATATAAAAATATGTAATTTATTTTTTTGAATAAAATGTTAAATTATATTCAAGAAAAAAATAAACGTTTTTACAACTTTGATCCAAACATCTTCAACTTAACAGTAAAAATTTTAGTTTGAATCTTGTCTTGTTGAGAACCAGGTTCTCAATCCTTCCTCGTACTTCATTACGCCATTGCTTCGGATCGAACAGAGCTGATTCCGGATATTTCTATCCATCATCTTCACCAATTTATGTGTTGTTGAAGGTGTAACACCATGCCTTCGGTTGAAAAAAAAAAAAATGTAATTTAACATCAGTTATGTAACTGATTTTACTATTTGTTAATTTAACATTGATTCAGTAATAAATTATATAAACTTTTATTAATTTAAATCATTTTATGAAAAGCGATACAAAAATATGAATGCACATTACTTAAATAATTGATGTAACTACATTTTTTTGTTAATATAATAAAAAATTGATACAAATATATTACAGCAATTTAAATATGATACTAATAAATTTTTAATTATTTTTTATGTTTGTCACACATCGAAAACTAAGGGAGGAGATGAGAATTTTGGTTTCTTATAAATACTCTAAGTTCACTACAGATTCTAAAAACTAATATTGATGTGTCATCATATGTAATACCAATATTAATTAATGTGTCATCATATGTAATACCAATACAATGATTTATAAAATTAATATTAAAATAATTTTTAAAATGTAATATTAATCTTAAATGATTACACATATTTTCAAATTAATAATTATAATATAACATTACCATCACTTATATTAATTAATTGATGCAAATCTTTAATATCATCTTTTTTACAACTGACATAAATTAACATCGATTATAATAATTGATACAAATATTTATATTATTTGCTTAATTGATGCAAATTTTGAGATTACTTCCTTAAATTGATGCATATATTTATACCAATTGTTTATGATGTAAAATATTTGCACAAATAATGTAATTATTTGCATCATCACTTTCAGAGTCACTTATTTAAGTGATGTAATAGTTTTCTACATCACTTATAACTAATATAAATACAAAAAATAAATGATGTAAAACATATTTTTGTAGTGTTTAGTTATAATCACTAGTGTTTCATTTCATGTAAATTCATAACCTTTTTATATTCTCTAGCTGCCACAACCTTAATATGTTGAATCCCTCCGAAATCGTGAACAAGAAAATATGATTGCATACCTCGTATAGATTTCCAGCATCATAGACCTCTCAGGTGATCTCGGTGAGTAAAAGAGGATTGGCCTAATAAGCCGCATGTCAATATAAGGTCAACTTCAGCGCAGAATCCAGGACGTCTGGTACAGACGTTGAATCCCTGACAAACAGCACAAAGCCGGATTAGTTCGACAATTGAAGGATTCATCGATGTCAGAAAATTTTCCGGTATTTCGTCTGGTAGAGATATGTAGATAACAGTGTGATGCTATGATATTGATGTGAATTTAAAAGAAAAACAAACTTTGTGAGTAAGTCAGTCTTAGAAGAAAATTATGGACTCAGACTTAAAAGAAAGTGATGGATTTGCAAACTAAATCCTGAAGATAAACATTCTTTAAGACATCTCAAATGTATAACTCCATATTTTACTCCATTTTAGAGTAACTCTAAAATAAAGTTGTGTTTTATTCCAACTCTACTCTATTTTTTTCTTTAAAATAGAGTCAAGATTAAAAAAAATAGAATATCTCTATTTTTTGTTCCATATTTAGAGTAACTCCAGTTTGGAGTGAGATATGGAGTAAGGTTGGAAAGATATTTGCTCCAAACTCTATTTTGGAGGAAAATTTGAAGTAGAGTTAGAAATGGTTTTATAAGTACACAATGATGAGATAATGTTAAATTATAAGAATTTTTTGCTTTGATATTGGAAATATATTTCTGTAAGTAATTTTATTGTGTATGAATTTGCGGAAATGTGTATGCATGTAAAACTTTTTAATCTATTCTATTAAAACAGAAGCATATTTAGTGTTTGCATCCAAACACTCCCAAAGTTTTTTTTTATGATATTTTATTTTATTTTTATATTTAATTTCCAAAAATTAGTTATTAATTTAGATATTCTTAGATTTCCTAAAATCTAGGTCATCTTTAATTTAAATTTCAAATTATTAGAAATTTGCATTCAATTTAATTTAAATTCAAAAAATTCAAAAACAATTATAATTAAATTTTATTACGAAAATTTAGATAATAATTTTAATACTTTAGAATTTCTTAAATACAGAAAAGATTTAATTTAAAATTTTAAATTTAAATAATATTTTTATAAAAATGCATAGTAAATAAATATTTTATCGTATTTTATCATAAACACTCGGTCTAAAATATCAAACATTTGAGATTAATAAATATTTATATTATACAATAATATGATCGAGCTGATTAAAGTTATATATATATATATATTTAAGGTCCATGAGTTAATTTATTAGAACATGTAAGATATTAAGATGATTTGAGACAATTAAACTAACAGGTTAGCCCGTTTATATATATATACATTTTTTAATAGCACAAATAGTAAATAAATATCTTATTATATTTTTTCATAATCAATTGGTCCAAATATTCCATATTAGTAGATATTTATAGGGTTATACAATTATAATTATAGTCTTATACGGGTTAGTTTGTCAAAACATGTAAGATATTAAAAATGATTTAAAACAACTAAACGGATGGATTAGCAAATTCATATATATATATAGATTGTTTATGTGTAAATCTAAATTCACATAATAACAAAGTTTATAATTAACATTAGATCAATGTATACTTAATTAATGTATACTCTTATTCTACTAATATACAAATTTTACTGTTTAAAATTAAAATATGATAACAATTTTTTTGATTTAAAAAAATAAATAACAAAAATAAATTATATCTAAACAAAAAAGATAAATACAACTTATATTAGAAATAAAAAGTAAAACATTCCCGTGCGGACGCACGGGGTTAAAATCATTAAAAACCTATTTAATTTTTTTTCATGATAAATGTCGACAGTGTCGACCAACATTAATTTTTTTCACCAACATAACATATATAAGACATAAATTCTCTACATTTTGTGTTTTTTAAAAAATTTCCAATCTAATGATAACATGACATTAAATAAAGGTTTGATGTACACAATTTCGTCACAAAACTGATTTCACAATTAAAGACACAAATCTGAATTACGACGAAGTTTGAAAAATCAGTTAACACAAACACCATATCCACAAAACTTGAGTCAGTTACACAATTTCACAACAATAAACACATCAAACTAGTTTTACGTGTTTGCAACTTCAGGATTGCCCACAAACTACAGCCCATGGCGAATTTTCACTAAATCTGGTAACCACAATATCTATAATCAGACTCATTTCATCCATACCAAACCTTGAGACATGCATTTCTAAGTACTTGGCCGAGTAAGGACCACAGTCTCCAGCCTCTTATTTTGATATATACCCTCGACACGACTCCATTTGTAGGGGTGGTTGGCCTTTCGTTAACTTTGCATCTATTTTCTTTATAATTTAATTTCGATTAAATCGATTACCCATTTTTTGTAATTTTTACATTTTAATATTTTTTAAAACAATGTTTACGAACATAAATAATAAGATAAATGAGCAAAAGTATACTTGGTAAGTTCTTCCCACCTTTTGAAATAAATTATCTTTTTCTTAAATTCCAAACTTAAATATTACCCATTCACCAATTTTCCTTAATTATTATCTAATTGATTTCAATGTGAACGTACCGTCTAACCGTTAGCCACTTAAGTTAGACTATTATCTCAGATTATATTACGTTTAACAAGTACAGAGTTATAAGTTTAGAAGTTATTAATTGGGTTTAATTATTCATTGTCCAAACGTAATCATGTCCGTCATAGTATTAATTAAGCAAAATATGTGAATAGTATTACTTTATTGTAGAAATAGGGTGAGACTTGTCGCGAGAGTGGAGACGTTGGGGCAAGGGACAACGACGTGCTCCCCACCTTTCTCAATGCCCACGCGCACTATACCCCACTTACTAACCCTAATTTAGTAATTTCCATTTCCAATGCTAATCTTTTTTTAATCACATTTTATGTTATTTAACAAAGTGAAAACTTATGTTATGTATATATTAAGTTGCCAATCACCATATACTTCCTCCGTTTTAGAAAGAGTGTCGTTTTAAAGTTTTATTTTTGTTTCACAAAGAATGTCGTTTTATATTTTCAATGCAAAATTTTAAACAATATTCCAGTTTTAACCCTATTAATTTAATGTATTTACTAGATAAAAACAAATCATTTAATATATTAATAAGGGACAAAATTGTACTTTTAATAATTTTTTTAATATATGTGAAAAATGTCAGAATGACATTTTTTGTGAAACTGAGGGAGTATGTTACTGATAATTACTCCTCTAATCGAGAAGAAAATTAATCCTAGTTCCCCATCCCAAAACATTTCGGGTATAGTGCAAACGCATTTTATAAACAAAGTTAGTTTTAGATATTTAACCAAAAAAAAAAGTTAGTTTTAGATCTGAATATCTAAAAATTGATTTCGGATATTGTGAAAAATCATGGGTTGAAAGTCCGAGAACTCCCACAATTCATAAACAAACAAAAAAAATCCAACACGTACAGTACATTTATCCCTTTCCAAAGATTCAGAAAACGAGCAATGCTTTGGCCTTGTTTCCCATTTAATTATTATTTGTCTGTGTATAGTTTTTATGCGGTCTCTTCTGCTTTACAAGCTGCATCAGAGAATCAACAATATGTTTTCTGAAATTGTTTTCCCCATGCATGTGAAATTGTGAATTATGATAAGTGTGACCCATCTTTCCTAAAATGTTGCACCATCTGATTAACCAAAAAGGAAGGAAATCCAAGACTTATTTAGGTAGGCAGTTTAATAGGAGTGTACGATTAATTTTTATTTGAAAGTTTGTTTATACATTATTGGTCTTTATTGAGAGTAAGACTTTGGCATAACCTGTATTTGAATTTCACTGTTGGTGTAAAATAGACTCATAAATTGGTCCACCATATACATGTATATAAAAATAAAATAAAAAGAGATTGCACATAGTAGTATTGCGTTCTTGGATTCTATATAAACCATATTATAAAATTATACTTGGTCTAACTTGTGGAAAATTAACTATTGCCTACTTTCTCTCTCTGTCTCTTCTTCGTGTGAAGAGAGAATGATTCTTAATTGGAAAGAAAAACAAAGTCTCAAATAGCTTTTCTTTGCTTTGATTCCAGTTCCATTCCACAATTGCATCTAATTCTCCTAGCTTAAGCCTTTTCCTCTTTATTTATCAACAAATTCCTAAATCCATATGAAGTTATTGAAATCAAAATGAAAAGAAAATTTCCAAGAAAAAGCTAGCTACAAACACCTTTTCACCTTGTAAATTTAGAACCCTAGAAACCAAGCCTTCAAGAAAATCATCAGGTTTAACAGTTTTCTTGATCTTTCTTTTACTCAATTTCTAAATTTTTGGGCAATTATGTCAAACCCTTGGTGGACAAACCAAAGTGGTTTAGCCGGTATGGTGGACCACTCAGCCTCCTCCGGCCACCACCAAAGTCTTCTCTCAAAAGGAGATCTTGGAATAGCCATGATGAATCAGAGCCAAGAAAACGACCAAGAAGACGAAGACGACCCAAGAGATGGTGCGGTCGAGGTGGTCAACCGTAGACCAAGAGGTAGACCACCAGGATCCAAAAACAAACCAAAAGCTCCAATCTTTGTGACAAGAGACAGCCCCAACGCACTCCGTAGCCATGTCATGGAGATCTCCGACGGCAGCGACGTTGCGGACACAATAGCTCACTTCTCAAGACGCAGACAACGCGGCGTTTGCGTTCTCAGCGGAACAGGCTCAGTAGCTAACGTCACCCTCCGTCAAGCCGCCGCACCAGGAGGCGTCGTCTCACTCCAAGGAAGGTTCGAGATCTTATCTTTAACAGGTGCTTTCCTTCCCGGACCTGCCCCACCCGGTTCAACCGGTTTGACGGTTTACTTAGCTGGTGTCCAGGGGCAGGTCGTTGGAGGTAGCGTTGTTGGCTCGCTAGTGGCCATAGGGTCAGTTATGGTGATTGCTGCTACTTTCTCTAACGCAACTTATGAGAGATTGCCTATGGAGGAGGAGAATGATGGCGGCAGTGGCGGCGGCGATGGCGGCTCAAGACAGATTCATGGAGGTGGTGACTCGCCGCCCGGAATCGCTACTAGCCTGCCTGATCCAGTGGGGATGGCTGGTCCTGGCTACAATATACCACAGCATCTGATTCCGAATGGGGCTGGTCAGTTAGGGCACGAACCGTATACGTGGGTCCACGCACGACCACCATACTGATTCAGTGAGCCATTTCTATATATGAATACATAAATAAAAGATAGAGATGAATATAAAGTTATTTGAGGTAGGTTGGTGTGTTTATAATCCAAAGCTTTGCTTTGTTGGAAAAATAAAATAAAATTATCAAAGCTTTGAATGTTCTTAATGGAAACCATATAGGGCTTGGAAGGTAAAAGGAGATGAAATTAATGGAATTTCGGATTTCAGTATTACTCTCCCCTGAAATATTGAAATGAATAATCAGTGTATAACTGAAAATTAGAATATTTGTTTCTCTCTTTTTGTTTTGTTTTGTTTCTTGGTAGTTGTTAATTAGCTACAGTATTTGTATGGTGTTTGATTTTGTGATATTTAGGTATTTTACATTTTGATTTGCACAAAATCATAAGTTTGTATATATAAATATATAATGCTGGTTCAGTTCAATGATGAAAGAATATCCAAAGCATTGCCTATCCGTGCGTTTCTATCTTGAATTATATTATATTACTTCTGATTCGTGAGTTTTTTTTAATAACTAAGGCTGCAGTAGCACTATATATTAGTGATTCAGATCAATGGTGGAGCTTTAATCTTCGGGTAATGATGCTTTTGGGGGATTGTTTAATATATGACTTTACAAACCAAATAACCAGAGTGCGTATTAAGAATTTTGCTGACCAAAAACGATGAGAGTAGGTAAAAGTATATACAGTACTTGGAAATAATCAAATAATCAGAGTGAGTTTCTAACTCCATATTAAGAAGCTGATGTGTTACTCTCTCATGCATTTTTAGCATGAAAATACTTTCTGGTGGAACCCAATATTAATAAGCATTTGAACTTGTAATATTGAGTTTGTGTGTGAATAAAAAATGAAGTTTAATAAGCAAATGGGCCTTATAAATTTATTTGAGATTTGAGTTTGAGCCTATGGAAATGAAATGTTCCTATTGGCTATAACTAAAAGTGGAAGTTTAGTGGAAGTGTATTTGTCCCACATTGCTCACAAAGGAGAAAAATCTCTTGTATAAATATGACCTTTTCACAATAAGGGTCAACAGCATTGTGGAAGTAAAAATGCATTATGCAAAAACACCTACGCGCGCCGCCGCCGTCGCCATCGCCATCGCCGGTGTCGGTGCCGGTGCCGGGCTCGTGCTCGTTGCTCGTTGCTCGTTGCATTTTTTAGTTGGCTCTTAGGCTCTTGGGCTCTATATAGCTGGGTGTGGGTCATGGGCTTCTTAGTTCCTGCGAAATAATTTTTGCATATTGAAAGAATAAATCTTAGAAAATAAAAGATTACGTCCAGATAATAACGGAAGATTTCCGAATCTTTTTACTTGCGGAAATAGGAGAATATCTTGTAATATTCCTTTTCGCAAAAGCTTATTCCTTGCGGATCAAGCTGAACCTTCCAGTATAAATAGACGCCCTCTTCTCTCATTCTAGATCATCGAATTAAGAATTGAATTTTCGAATACTCCAAACACACAGCAAATCCCTCTCGTCTTAATATCGTAAGTGTCTCGAGAGTTATAGCGTAGTATTTTAGTTCGCAGATTCTATTACGGGTGTTGCGTAATAGTCTCATCACGGTTGTATCCTGGGATTCAAAAATCGCAACAAACCGTCACACATTACGGGCGATTTATTGAGTTAAGGAAAGAGATCATATCTCGACTCCGTGTTTTCGTCTGTTTTCAATCGGTTTTCAAACTCTCGTTTTAATCTCTTACCTTAACATATCGTTTATAATATTGCTATTTTCTATTCGTGATTTCAATCGGATTTTCGCGGTCTAACAATCTTAACTCAATAAATCCGCTTTCTGCTTATCGCTTGAATCGGATTGAATATTGCGAAACAGTTTTTATAAACGGTTTTGAAAAAACGAGTTTTTAAAATTGATCTACGAAGTGTCTGCGAAAGTTTCTTAGCTATTTCGTAGAACTTTTGATCTATTAAAGACGAATCTACTGAAACGGTTTATGCGGCAGTCATAGACAGGTCCGCAAAACGTGTTAGGGTTTAAGAATGTCTTCAAAAGACGATTCTGGGAACACCTATTTTCCAGTTCTAAGAATACCTATTGGTAATATCTGTGGAAACTCAAAGCGAATCCTTTCTGGAAACACTGTTCATAGCGACTTAAACGTTTTAATCGCTGATTTGAATCTTGGTTCTCAAACTAACTTCGGTTATTTTCTGTGAACAGATTCAACTATGACTAACGGTGATGTCGACATGACTACCAATGGAAGCTCGGGTGAAGTCAGGATGCCAGCGTCGGTAACCGCAGGACTTCAGCCCGACAAATTCGATGGTTCAAACTTCAAGCAGTGGCAAGAAAGGATGCACTTCTTTCTGTCGTCAATGCAGCTGAGCAAGTACCTCACAGAGGATCCCCCAACAGTGCCAGACGGAAACAAAGATGTTACGATTCTGGCTACCGTTGAAGCATGGAAGCACTCAGACTTTCTATGCAAAGGGCACATCAAAAATTGCCTGGTGGACCAGCTGTTCGATGTGTACAGTGAGGTCAAAACTTCCAAAGAACTTTGGGATGCTTTGGAAAAGAAGTACAAGTCGTACAATGTCGGCTCTGGGAAATTCGCTACAGCGAAACTCCTCAAGTTTGAGATGGTGGATTCTCGTCCCATCATGCCACAAGTGCACGAGCTGGAACTAATCTTTCAAGAGATTAGGACTGAAGGAATGAAGCTATGTGAGACATTCACGGTGAACTGCTTCATTGAGAAGTTACCTCCAAGTTGGGCAGACTTCCAGAACTATCTTGCTTACAAGCAAAAGGCCCTGTCTCTGGCAAATCTGATCTCCAGATTGCAGAATGAGTCACTAAAACGTGACAAAGTTGGAAAAGAAGATGGTCAGATCATGACCCATGATGCAAACGTGGCTGAGTACAGAAAAAAGGGCAAAGGCAAACCATCCAACAAGGCTGTGCCTAACAAGTTTCCTCCACGAAACAACACTAGCTTCAAGAAGCAAGGTCAAGCACCCATGAAAAACAAGTTCAATGGGAAGTGCAACTACTGCAACAAGCTTGGACATAAGTCTTCAGAGTGTCGCCGAAAGGCTAAGTCTGAGAACAACCAAGCTCACTTGACTGAAGCAGACCTATGTGCAATGGTTACAGAGGCTAACTTGGTGGAAGAGAACCCCAAGGCGTGGTGGTATGACACAGGTGCAACCACACACATCTGTATTGACAGAGAAATGTTCAGTACCTATCAGAAGTGCAAGACTGATGATCAATTAAAGATGGGAAACGTCTTCCAGTCCAAGATTGAAGGTACTGGAAAAGTTGTGTTGAAGATGACTTCAGGCATGGAGGTTACTCTCAACAATGTGAAGCATGTTCCAGACATGAGGAAGAACCTGATCTCTGGTACTCTAATGAGCAAGCATGGTTTTGCAATCAACTTTGAGTCTGACCAGCTGATACTTAGGAAGAATGGTGTTTTCATAGGAAAAGGTTATGTTAAGTCACGATTGATCAAAATGTCTGTAATGACAATCCTGAAGAAAAACAAAGTTGTACCTGATTCCAAAGATTTAATTAATAAGAATCCAGTTGCTTATGTGGTTGAGTCTTCTAATATTGGGCATGAACGTTTGGGACATGTTAATTACAAGTCTATTCAAAGACTGATGAATTTGAACATGATTCCAAAGTGCAAAATTAGCAAAGACAAATGTGAAATTTGTGTCCAAGCAAAGCTCACGAAAACACCATCACCTCATGTTGAACGAACTACCGAACCTCTTGGGTTAATCCACACTGATCTGTGCGATTTAAAATATCTACCATCAAGAGGTGGTAAAAAGTATTTTGTGACTTTCATTGATGATTGTACAAGGTACTATTACGTGTATTTGCTGCGTAGTAAAGATGAAGTCTTGGACAAATTCAAAGAGTACAAACTCGAAGTTGAAAAGCAACTGGCAAAGACCATCAAAATGGTCAGAAGTGATAGGGGTGGAGAATATGATGGACCTTTCAAAGAGTTTTGCCAGATAAACGGAATCATCCATCAAACTACAGCCCCCTATTCACCTGAATCCAATGGAGTTGCGGAAAGAAAGAACCAAACTCTGAAGGAGATGATGAATGCAATGTTGCAGAATCCGGGACACCCCAGAATCTGTGGGGGGAAGCACTGCTCACCACAAATTATATCCTCAACAAAATACCTCATAAGGTAACTGGCAAAACACTGTATGAACTTTGAAAAGGTAATGTACCTTCGTACAAATACCTGAAAGTGTGGGAGTGCTTAGCAAAAGTCGCAGTGCCACCTCCAAAGAAGGTCACAATTGGACCTAAGACTGTAGATTGTATCTTTATCGGATATGCTCACAATAGTAGTGCTTATCGATTTCTGGTACATAAGTCAGATGTATCAGATGTCCAAGTGAATACTATCATGGAATCAAGGAATGCTTCTTTCTTTGAACACATATTTTCATATAGGGATAAGAAAACTACTAAACGCACTCGTGAAGAAAGAGATGTGACTACTTCTGTAAATGAGATGGAAGTAGAACAGGTTGAAGATGAACCTAGACGAAGCAAAAGAGCTCGTAAGGAAAAATCTTTTGGTGAAGATTTCATGATGGTCTTTCTTGTCGAGAATGAACCGAGATCTTACACAGAAGCCATGTCTACACCAGAAGCTCCTTATTGGAAGGATGCTGTCAATAGTGAGATGAGTTCTATAATGCAGAATCATACCTATGAGATAACTGACTTACCTCAAGGGTTCAAAGCACTAGGGTGTAAATGGATCTTCAAGACCAAGCTGAAAGCTGATGGTTCTATAGATAAGTACAAGGCACGCCTTGTGGTGCAAGGATTCAGACAAAAAGAAGGTCTAGATTTCTTTGACACCTATTCTCCAGTTACGAGAATAACTTCGATCAGAATATTGATTGGTGTAGCAGCCTTGCGAGGCTTGGAAATCCATCAGATGGATGTTAAAACTGCCTTTCTAAATGGTGATTTAGAAGAAGAAATATACATGAAACAACCCGAAGGTTTCGAGGTTATGGGTCAAGAGCACAAAGTGTGTAGACTCGTGAAATCATTGTATGGACTGAAACAAGCTCCAAAACAATGGCACAAAAAGTTTGACAATGTGATGATGTCAAATGGTTTCAGTATTAACGAATGTGATAAATGCATCTACTACAAATGTACTCCAAACAGATACATCTTACTATGTCTGTATGTAGATGACATGCTGATTATTGGCAGTAACAAAGATATCATTCAACAAACCAAGAACATG